CCCTCTTCACCCTCTGCCTTCAGTCTTGCCCAGCATGAGGGTCTTTTCTGATGAGTTGGCTCTTCCCATCAGGTGGCCAAAGTATTGAAGATTCAGCTTCAGCTTCAGTTCTTCCAATGAATATTCTGGGTTTATTTCCTTTAAGATTGACTGGTTTGATCTTCTTGCTGTCCAAGGGAATCTCAAGAGTCTTCTCCAGCACAATTCAAGAGCATGAATTCTTCAGCGCTCAGCCTTCTTTATGGTCCAGTTCTCACATCCATACATGACTCCTGGAAAAACCATAGCTTTGACTATATGTACCTTTGCCAGTAAAATGATGTCTTTGCTTTTTAATACACTATCTAGGTTTGTCATAGCTTTCCTTCCAAAGAGCAAACATCTTTAACTTCATAGTTGCATTCACCATCCACAGTGACTGATTTTGTGTTCTTGGAATCCAAGATAAAAAAATCTGTTACTGCTTCCACTTTTTCCCCTTCTATTTGCCATGAAGTGATGGGATCAGATGTCATGATCTTAGTTTTTTGAATGCTGAGTTTTAAGCCAGGTTTTCCACTCTCTTCTTGCACCCTCATCAAGAGGCTCTTCAGTTTCCTTTCACTTTCTGCCATTACAGTGGTATCATTTGTATATCTGAGGTTCTTGATATTTCTCCCCACAATCTTGATTCCAGCTTGTGATTCATCCACCCTGGCATTTCACATGATGTACTCTGCATATAAATTAGATAAGCAGGGTGACAATATATAGCCTTGACATACTCCTTTCCCAGTTTGGAACCAGTCCATTGCTCCATGTCTGGTTCGAACTATTGCTTCTTGACATTCATGCAGGTTTCTCGGAGACAGGTAAGGTAGTCTGGCATTCTCATCTCTTTAAGAAGTTTTGACAGTTTGTTGTGACCCAGATAGTCAAAGGTTTTAGCATAGTTAATGAAACAGAAGTAGATGTTTTTTTGGAATTCACTTGCTGTCTCTATGAGACAACAAATGTTGGCAATTTGATCTCTGGTTCCTCTGCATTTTCTAAATCTAGCTTGTACATCTGGAAGTTCTCAGTTCATGTATTGTTGAAGCCAAACATGAAGGATTTTGAGCATAACCTTACTAGCATGCAAAATGAGTACAATTGTCTTGATCAGAAAATATAGCAATAGCCACCATTCTGCAGGAAAAAAAAACAAAAACAAAAACTACAGCCATTTCCCAGTTGACTAAGAGACGAGTCAAACTTAAGAGATCAAGAGTAAAGAAAGTCTGAATACTTACTATAAACATAATTTGAAACTGGATAAAAATGTACAACAGTGATTATAATTCCTTGAGAAGATATAAAATAAGAACAAAATACATAGATAATGTAAGTATCAAATTCCAAATTATATTAATTAAAACTGGAGAATGTGGGTGAGGGAAATTGATAGAAGTAAGTAAAAAGTGTTAGTCGCTCAGTCATGTCCACCTCTGAGAACCCATGGCCTGTAGCCCCCCTGGCTCCTCTGTCCATGGACATCTCCAGGTAAAAATATCAGAATGGGTAGCCAATCTCTTCTCCAGGGGATCTTCCCAACCCAGGAATGACCATTAAATTCCTTATGTAATATAGAATAAAGTCAAGAGTTTTTGCTTAACTAAATTATGAACATTCATTTATGGAACACTCCCTGGGCCAGGAAGATCCCCTGGAGAAGGAAATGGCAACCCACTCCAGTACTCTTGCCTGGAAAATCCCATGGATAGAGGAGCCTGGTAGGCTACAGTCCATGGGGTCGCAAAGAGTCAGACACGACTAAGGGACTTTACTTATAGTACTAAAAATAATGAGGAAGCTCTTTATGGTCAGATATGAAATTGTCTATAAGAACAGGTTATTCTAAAGGGGGGATCATAATACAAAAATGTGTACAGCATGTTATGTTTTGTGTAACAAAAGAGGAAAAAACTTGGTTGCCTTGGGGAAGGGTTACTGGATAGTTGGGAATTAGATGTAAAAAGAAGACATCATAACATTTTTTTAATCCTTTGCTTATTTGTAAATGAACCATGTAAATATGCCTTATTTTTTAAAATTAAATTTTTAAATGTATAATTTGTTTTGTTTTGACTTTGAGAATAAAGTAAACATTCATTGAAAACTTTGTTACATGTGTAAATCTAACTTATGATGAAGACACCACAAACCAGAAAAGATTCATTAAATGATCTTGGATAATTGGTTTTATATTTGAAAATAAAAATATTTAGTCCTTATTTCTGGAGAAGGAAATAGCAACCCACTCCAGGATTCTTGCCTGGAGAATTCCATGGACAGAGGAGCCTGGCAGGCTACAGTCCAGTCTAGTCCAGTTCAGTTCAGTCACTTATTCATGTCCAACTCTTTGCAATCCCATGGACTGCAGCACTCCAGGCTTCCCAGTCCACCACCAACTCCCGGAGTTTACTCAAACTCATGTCCATTGAGTCAGTGATGCCATCCAACCATCTCATCCTCTGTCATCCCCNCAGTCTGTTGTTCCTTGTCCAGTTCTAACTGTTGCTTCCTGACCTGCATACAGGTTTCTCAAGAGGCAGGTCAGGTGGTCTGGTATTCCCATCTCTTTAATATTAATTTTCCACAGTTTGTGGAAAATTGTTATCTGTTGAGACCATTCAGGTACGACCTAAATCAAATCCCTTACGATTATACAGTAGAAGTGACAAATAGATTCAAGGGATTAGATCTGATAGAAAGAGTGACTGAAGAACTATAGACAGAGGTTCATGACATTGTACAGAAGGCAGTCATCAAGGCCATCTCCAAGAAAAAGAAATGCAAAAAGGCAAATGGTTGCCTGAGGAAGCCTAACAAATAGCTGTGAGAAGAAGAGAAGTGAAAGACAAAGGAGAAAATGAAAGATATACCCATTTGAATGCAGAGTTCCAAAGAATAGCAAGGAGAGATAAGCCTTCCTCAGCATTCAATGAAAAGAAATAAAGGAAAACAATCGATAGGGAAACACTAGAGATCTCGTCATGAAAATTAGAGACACCAAGGGAACATTTCAAGCAAAGGTGGGCATAATAAGGGACAGAAAGAGCTACAGTCCCTGGCATAGCAAAGACTCAGACATAAGTTAGTGACTAAACAACAGTCCTTATTTCACAACACTGACCAGATTAAACTACAAATTATAGAGTGAAGTTACTAAAAATAAATTAAAATTAGATAAAAATATTAGAATAAAACAGGTGAGTCTTAGCGCAAAGAAAAACTTCCCAAGAGAAACCTGACATATCTGACTATGTAAAAATTAAAATTTCCTATAGATCAGAAATACTTTATAAAATTAAAAAGTATACTAAAAATAGAGAAAACTACACAAATATAAGAGATTATATCTCTATTTCATTTTATTTATTTTTTAAATGGGAGCACAGATTACAGATTTATGTAATAGAAGTTTTATGTAACACAAGAGCCTCCATAATGAAATGAAGACCTGAAGAAACAGACCTATGCACTGGTCTGCTGGGTTTGATGACCAGTGGACAGTCAACTCAGGACCAGCCAGATGGAAAACTGCCCAGGGCAAGGTATGTGAGAAAGAGCATGGAATGTCCATGCCCTCTCCAGGGGTACCGTTCTCCCCACGTCTTCACATGGTCACTAACCAGGAAGCCCCAATAACTACTTTTTAAAGATTCAATCAAACTAGAAGACAAAGCAAACTTTTGGAAACCTCACTAACATCTCAATATAAAAATGGGCGGAGGAAATTAACAGATAGGAAATGAAAACGGCTAAGGACATATGAAAGCTCATTGATCATAAAAATAACCCAAATTAAAAAGAAACCTTCTCTCGCCTGTCAGATGCGTGAAACTCCAAGGATGAGGGGACCTTCATAACTACTGATGGATATCTAAAGTATCACAACCTTTCTGAAAAACAACTTGAGATGAGTACCAACAGCCTTCAACAGGTTCAAAACTTCTGACTCAATAATTCTAAGTTCCTACAAACTATCTCCTCAGAAATATAATGTGACATTATTTATAATAAGAAAAAACCTTGGAAACAATACAAATGTTTGTAATATGGAAATGTAATAAAATCTGATGCTCTCATAAAATATTATGCAGACATTAAAATCATTAATTTTAAAAATACTTAACATCTGGAAAGACATAGAAGATATACTGTAAGTGAAAATGAATATGCTCTCCTGGCAATTTTGAAATGACAATATATACTATATACACAGATTTTAAATAGCAGAGGGAAATGCAACAAAATGTTAACAATAATTTTCTTTAAAATTAATTTTATTACTTTTACTTTTTGTAAATTTTAAAGTTTCTATAATACATGGTGGAAGGAGACACCATATTTAGATGAAGAAATATTACAATTACACAAACTTCACCTGGCATCAACAAGCTCCAGATCTCAACTGAAAGTGTCAATTACTACAACAAGCAGGAAACTCACAGAGAAAACCTTGATGATGCATGAGTACCTGCCTTTCATCTTTCTTACACACCTTTGACTCAAAACTTCATGGCCCAATAGAGTAAGGACAGAGCAATACCAGGACAACTCCAGTGGGCAGCCAACAGGAGAACTATCGCTCAGCATAACAAATAACCTTGCACAGGCTCCATGGCCTAAACACAAACAACTCAACTGTAATGGTGTTTCCACAACACACTTGCCTGCCCAGAAAGTCTTCAGCCAAGACCACCACTTATGGTCCACAAACCACCAGGTGAAAGGAACTGCCTTAATAATCTAAGAATTGATAATTCTGGCATGAAGAGCCCTACATGCCATGCTCAGGCTCCCAAGGGCCCTTCCCCATCCCCTGGTGTTTTCTCTGGCAGGATGTTTTATATCATGTTCAGTCCAACCCAGCTAATAAAGGAGCTCTTTTAAAGCTGAGAAAAACCCTGTGTATTGGGTTCCTGGGTCCAACATGTGTGCAATAAATAAAGAAGCATGGAACACATGTACAGTACCTTCCCGAAGCTGTGTTGGCTTCGCAGAATTCTCCCCGCTCATTAAAACAACAAAGGATGCAGCTGCTCGAACTGTAGCCTGCCATGTTGACATGGCAACGGGTGGCTCCTGGCATGGAAAAAGGGCCCTGTTGTTTATGGGAGATCCCACAGTATAAACACATGGCCTGCAGAAGAAAGACAAAGAAACAAAGGCAGAGAATCTTTAAAATGAGTTGTCACTTTCCTTACCACCATGGTAGCAAATGTTAAGTTGAACTTTCAAAGAGAAAATATCGAACTGACATCTGCCAAGGGTTATGTGAATAGCCGAGTGGTTATTTCTCCCAAATGAATTACTTAAATATGTAAAGAGAGCTTTTTTTTTTTCCCTAAGGGGAAAAATATTTTTTGGATAAAGTTTTAAATACTAGTCTGCCAAGTTAAAATTTATATTACCTTGCCCTTCCCCTTAGGTTCTTAGGCCTTCAAAACAAGAAAGTTTTAGAGACATTCTTATAAAACTTTTGGAAAATATTCTGGAAAAGAAAATATGTTTAGTGATACTGAGATATTAATACTTGGAAAAACAAGCTGGTGGTCTCAAATGCCGTGCTGGCGGGCAGATACCCCCAATCTTGGAAACCACCATCTCAAATGGAACCCTTGTGGGAATCCTTGTGCGGAGGCCAAGAACAGGGGTTGGCATATAAACAGGACTGTGGGTCACAACAACCAGGAGGCTTGTGATGGGAAGGCCAAGGGCAGAGTTATTACCAAAGGAAGTATAAGAAACCAGTGGCATGACATTGGGGCCCATTCTGCTACAATTAAAAAATACAAACCTACACACACCAAGAACAATCCCTTCCATGATAAGTCACAAAGAGAAATGGAAAAAAAATCTCTGAGATCAAAGAAATCTATTCTTTTAACACCACTGAGTAGAAGGCACAGACTGACCCTTGGGAAGATGTCTTAGGAAAATGTTTTCACTTTTTGTTTTTCAAGAGTTATGGCAAATATGATATAGTTTTAATCAGCGTGATTGATGGAGTAAATGATAAGAGTGGAGTGCTACCTCTCTTGCATAAACTGGTTTTCCTTTTTAGAAGAGTTAACACTATTATGACTGAAGATTTATTGTGTTCTTACAGTGAGCAAGAACACATAGAATGATGACCCCACTCCGTCAGTCAGGGTCCAGGAGGGAAAACATAAACCAGTGTAGGTCTTAATAAACAGAGGTAATTTAATTTAGGGGATTGGTCCTAGAAGTAACAGAAGGACTGAGAAGCCAAACAGCAGACAGTGATGCTACCCAGAGATTAGCCACAGCAGCAAGGAGCTGTGACTCCATGGGTTGGAGGGGCTGCTGTTACTGAGTGTTCTGGGCTTACAGCAACAGGAGTCATTTGACAGAAGCCAGAATCACAGTGGAGAATGTCCAATGGGTGCAGGGACCAGGGAGACTCAGTCATTGCTAGAGGCACCAAAATAAGCAGAAAGAGGAGAGGAAGTAGTTTGTGTGTGTGTGTGTGTGAGTCTCTCAGTATCTAAGCAAGAACACTAGAGTGGATAGCTATTCCCTTCTCCAGGGGGTCTTCCCGACCCAGGGATCAAACCCAGGTCTCCTGCTTTGCAGGCAGATTCTTTACCATCTAAGCCACAGAGAAGCCCAGGAAATTGTTTATTGCTTGCTAACTCCTGCTCTCAAGTGTTCCATCAATGCCCCGCATTGGCCAAACCTGACAGGAAGTCAGAAGACAAGGGAGCCTGGGAAATGAGGTTCCTTGTCATTAGGAGAAGATAATAAGAGCAGAAGATGGACCTTAGAGCAAACAGGTAGTCTGCCTTCTAGAATTGTATATGCCATGATTACTCACAGATTTGACATGAGGCAGAGAAAGAAGACTAGACATTCAGAAGACTAGTCCTGGCTGGGTTACCAGCTCATTAAATGGCTATGGAAAAATCCCTGACCTCTCTGAGTCACATGCAAAATGGGGATAAAGGGGCAGGTATGTGACTTCAGTTGCCAGTCTGTTCTGGTCCATAAACCCACGGTTATGTCCCAGAATCACAGATCCAAGAACGAAGGCAAATTTTCATGGAAGGCCCAGAGTCTCCCATTGATTTCACAGAGTACTGAGCTCCCACCCCGGTGCTCTTGGATCCCTGGTTAATTGACTGAGCCTGAGTTAACTTCAGGCAGTTGAGGACCTAATGAAGTCCCCCTAAAACTACCTCCTCCTAGCTGGGTCTGCTGGTTGTGGGTGCCTGGTGGGGGATGCTGTAGCAGCTCAAATAGCTCAGGTAGGTAGCGTCAAGGCATGCCTAGTTCTGAAAATTCCACCTGTTTTTTCCCCAAAAAAGCCAACAAAAAAAAAGAACCCAAAAAAAAAAACAACAACAAGGAAAAGAAAGAAGGTGGCCCCGGCCGAATGGCAGGCATGACTCTTCCTCTGACAGTGACAGCCACTGAGAATCAAGGCTTCCTTTCTTACTAAAGCAGAACAGACCCCACAGTGTCTGTCAGCTCATGAGCTCTTGGAATCCACTTCCAATCGAAGCAGACTTGTGGAGATAAGCTTATTTGTGATGCTCACAGGGAAGTGGGAGACCCTGTCAAGAGATCGCCTAAGACTTTCTCTGGGGACAGGAAGTGGGAGCTGACCCCATATTATGGTTTTAAGTCTTAGGGTACTTTGGGGAAGTATCTGTGCTTTATCTGTGCTCTCTTGTTCTTACACTCAGCACCTCACTTCCCTAGGGTGACTCTAGTGTTACAGGTCTTCCCTTGTCTGCACATGGAGCAAATTCTCCCCAAAAGACTGGCTTGCCAGGACGTTTGCCTTTCTTCTCCCTGTAAGTTTGGGTTGGAGGCCCTGTTGGCATATTATCATGCATTCCACCAGTGCCCTTAGGTATGAGGTCCCCAAGCCTTCCTCCACAGCCTCCATACCTCTTTCCAGAAGAAACTATCAGATTTGAGATGAGGTCACATGTGAGAAAGGGCTTTCCAGGTGGCGCCAGTGGTAAAGAGTATGCCTGCCAATGCAGGAGACATAAGAGACACAGGTTTGATCCCTAGGTTGGGAAGATCCCGTGGAGGGGGACATGGCAACTCACTCCAGTATTCTTGCCTGAAGAATCCCACGGACAGTGGAGCCTGGGGGGCTACAGTCCACAGTGTCACAAAGAGTCAGACACGACTGAAGCGGCTTAGCACACACACACACACGTGAGAAGACAGGGCAGAGGACGAATCAGAAAGACTCAGCGATTCACTGAAGAAGGAGAAGGAAGGGAAGGCCTCCCTGAGGTAGCCAGCTCCCAAGATGGCCCCAGTGACTCCCGCCCCAGATATCCACACCCCTGTGTAGTCCCCTCCCACACTGCATTGGGGTGTCCTCTGTGACCCAAATCACTACAACGAAAAGCCCGCACACCCCAACTAGAGAAAGCCGGCATGCAGCAACAAAGACCTAGTGCAGCCAAAAGAAACATAAATAAATTTTAAAAACAAACAGGAAAACAATCCTAGGCCAAATTTCTTGAAAATGTACATTCTCTTCATGCTCCCAGTCTGCTTCCTTCTTGGTCTTTTCTTCTTTTTCTCAGCTCACTCCTCCCTCCCCAACACATCCAAACCAAGAGCCAGTGACCTTATAACTGAGGGCTTTTTGAGCTTTCACAATGATATGCCTATGCATGTCACACATCACAGTGCAAATGTCCAAAGCAATCTAAAGTCAAGTAAATACATTTTAAGAGGGATGAAAGCTTTAACCTCCGGGTAAAAGCCGAGTGGTGGAATTTTGGGCATCTGACAGAAAGTAGAGAATGGGTGGACAGGAGGTCTTCATGGAGTCTGAAAATCATACTCTGTGATGACTCTTGTCACACGCACATGTTCCCCACCCTTCCTCTTCCCTACCCATTGTGTCCCAGGAGGGGATGAAAATCTATGTGCATTTATAAACATGCTCTGCAGTTATCTGGATGTGTGATCATTGAAATATATGCAGCTGTGTTTATTCAACATGCACAGCCTTGCACCTTGGCCATGTTGCTAAAATGCCTATGGGATAGATGTTTAGGCACAAGCCTGCAATTCTCTGATGTTTATAATCATTATTTCCCAAATGAACAATTCCTTCCAACATGAAAAGCAAAACTCTCCTACCAGGGTTCATCCCACATGCCCTGGGATACCCACCCGCAAGGGAGACCCCTTGGAGCCCAGATTAACTGCATAGGAGTTGCAGGAATGGGAGAAAGCAACTGAAAATGAGAAAGAAAACAGAGTAAGATAGCGGGTGACAGCCAGGCCATGGCTGGTTGTCATTAAAGAACTAAACTAAGAACCTGTCAGTATAACAATTATTTCAGCTTCTTGTCATATGTTTGTGTATTCTCAGAGCAGTCAAATGAAGATGAGATACACTATGCTGCTGGTCTGACTGTGTCTGTCCAAATTCATATGTTGAAATCTTAATGTCCAAAGTGTTGGTAATTAGGAGGTGTGGTAATTAGGAGGTGAGGTCATTGGGAGGTGCTCAGGACATGAGGGCAGAGCCCTCATGGATGAGATTGATGCCTTTATAAAAGAGGCCAGACAGAGCTTCCTGGCCCCTTCCACCAGGTAAGGCCACAGCCAGAAGCTGGCAGTCTGCAACACACAAGAGGGCCTTCACCAGGACCTGACCATGTTGGCACCCTAATCTCAGAATTTTAGCCTCCCAAACCATGATAAATTAAGTTCTGTTGCTCATAGACCATTCTCTCTGCAGTATTTTGTTATAGCAGCCCAAATGGAAATGGACTATGATGTCAACTAGATATGTTTGCTTACCTTTTTTGAGGGGAAGCCATCTTTACAACTTGTAGGGAATAGGCTCAATCCATACATTTTCTTTATTTTCAGTTGACTACTATATGAATTTTTCTTTTTGCAGTTAGAGTGAAAGGGAGTTATTTTTAGTTTAAAAATACTACTTTCCATAAAAATCACCCATTTTCAGAGACTTGATTATCACAGATCAACAACTGGGGAGAGGGTGGCTTCAATAGACAGTAGGAGGTGATGAGCCCGCTGTCAATGTGGATGTAGCTTGATACGATGTTTTTCCACACTGAGGCACTGATCTGGTCACTGGAGGCCAGAAGGCCCCAGATATGACAG